TCCCAATCATTACTAATTGAATGTTTTTTAGATCATTCAAATCGGATACTCCGTTCTCTCAAAAATACGATTTCTATTTTCTGCACCCTTTGCTCCGTATCTCCGAAACGGCTGGACCTGCCTTTGCCAAAAACTAACCAGCTCTTTTCCCATAAATAGGAATCGGATGTTTTTTGAACCATTCAAATCGGTTGATCCGTGTGCCCTAAAACGTGACTGGAAATTTGTATCCACACATACATACACACGCACACACACACACATCCATTTTTTCTGAGGTATGCCAAAACGTCCAGAAACCTTCAAAACGTCGAGAAATGCAAAAATTTTCATTTTCGATTTTCGTCCCATTATTATAACTACCCTACGGGAAGTTAAAAATTACATCAGTAGGGAAAATAATATTTATTTCGTTGATTTTTAGAACTAACGGATATCATTGAAACTTTTTTCAACATTTTATGTATTTTTTGTCTAAGTATTGAGATTTAGGAGCCAATTTTGCAAGTAACATAGCTGATAACATAGCGTTGTTATGGCAACGCTATATCACACTTTTTTTCTTGCTTATTTAAAAAAAAAATTGATACGGAAAGTTCCAGCAATTTGCCTTAAGGCACGATGCAATTCATCACTAGATAATGTAACTAAATCTATCCAAACTATTATATTCTCGATCCAATCTCCACTTCGACCTAAAGTCGTCGTCGTCGTCGTCGTGTGACCCTGGCAGCCGAAACCTATCATTGACATATCGTTATCAGTAGTTATTATTATAGGACCCGCTTCTGCTGGAGGACGTGTCCGACCGCCAACTTAACCACCTGACCGCCCTTCCTCCGAAGTTCGCGTGTCACGATGTCATTACGTCTGATTCAAGCCGAAAAGGGCGGTCGGGTGGTGGTCTGGTGGTCGGTGGTAAATTGTCGAGAGTTAGGTCTTTATTGAAAGCGCTCAAGACCTTTTTTTAACAAACGTTTAAATACATTCTCGTATATGCGATATGGATATGGCAGGTGATTTGTGACAGGGTTGACCAGGATAATGGATTAGGTGAAAATGTATTTTGGGTTGTTCAGATTTTTATGTTGTATCCGGATATATATATATATATATAGAGTGTCCCGATCGTAACTACCAAGACAGAAATTAAATAAAATTACATGTGGTGTGAAAATTGTAGGCTTTTAAGTGCATCCTGGAGCTTTGTCCGAACTGTGACCATTACTCGGTTATTGTGGTTAATTTTTATTATTTTTGTTTATAACATTTTTAGAATGTTAATTTATATATTTTTAGTTTATTAGGGACATTCATTTTGAAGCTCAATTGATTTTTTTTATTCCCATTGCTGCTATTTAATTTAATGGTCAATGTCTTTGCTGGTCTTTTTTCTCTTCCCATGCCTAAATTCAATGTTTGTGTTCAATAAGCTTGTTAGTAGAATGTTCTTAAAGAAAAATCATTTCTTTTCTTGTTCTTATATTAGTGTTTAAAATAATAAGATAAACCCTTTTTTCTTAGCTTGCTGGTCAGTAGAGTTCTTATTATTTGCAGCCTTGGATTTTCATTTGCTATTTTGTAAACGCCCGATCTATTTTTCATGTCTTCTCTTTTTTCTCATGTCAATTTTTAGTTTTCTTGTCAGTAGAGTCTTTTTTTATTACTTAAATTGCTTACCAGTAATATTTTTTCTATTTTCTATGTTGGTTTCTCATTCGCCCTTTTATTAAATTTTCTTTTTTCTCGTGTCATTATTTAGTTTACTCGTCAGTAGAGTCTTTTTATTTTCTAGATTGCTAGAATTTTTTCTATTTTTATGTTGATTCTTAATTTGCTGATTTATTAAATTTTCTTTTTTTATCATGTCAATATTCAGTTTTCTCATCAGTAGAGACCTTTTTTATTTTTTAAAATGCTTGTCAGTAGTCTTCTTTCTGATTTTTATGTTGGTTCCTAATTTGCTCTTTTATTCAATTTTCTTTTTTTTGTATCATTATTTTAGTTTGCTCGTCAGTAGAGCCCTCTTTTTTATTCTAGTTCTTTTTTTAGTTTGCTCTATGTTTATATTTTTGCTCGTTAGTAGAATAATTTCCTTTTTGTAACTATTTTGAGATTTGTCGTTAAATTTTTTCACTACATTCAGGAAAATCAACTAAACATTTACCTGGTCAAAACGTCCAAAGATTAAAATGAAATGAAACGAGCAATCACACTTTACGTAATGCTCTTTAGATATATCTAAATTTTATTAAAATGTTATCATAAACATTTGAGTTAGAATAAAATAATTTAGTTAATTCAATTGATTTGTTTTTAGTTGTGGGTGTGCATTTTGTAATCGTAATTGTTACGTGTAGTGCGAACTTTAATATGAAGCTTCCTGTTGATGAAAATATTATCATGTATAGTGATGTCGATAAATAATTGCTATCGATGTCGATTCACATTTGCCTGAAGAAGTAATTTGATATCGATTATTTGTTACACAAATTTTGGAGAAAATTGACGTAAAAGTTTTTTAGTACCAAACTGTAAATTTTTATACCCGACTATTCTAAATCCTATATTTATTTTACAATTTCATTTTACCCAGTTATCTCCTATTCATACAAATGTTGTGCGTGTTTCGTATCGATTCGTCCGCTGAAATAATTAACTAGATTAATTAGTGGTCTAGTGAGAGTTTTATACGATGATCTGATAAAAAACTGAAACGTTTGCTATTTGGTATTTATCGCTGATGTTTGCTTTTATTCTAATGTCAAAGGATGGATTTTAAATCAGTGCCAACATCAAGGATACTATCTGTAAAAGAATGACTTGATCAGAAAAATAATTTTTAGATATGCTTTTGGACAGGACTTGGTCTTAAGGAATTTTCCGTCATTGGTCTTATGACGTCGAGGCAAGAAAGTAATTACACAGTGATTTATATATATATATATATATATATATATATATAATAGTGCTTCCTCTACGTGTCGTCCTCAATAAATTTTATGCTCATGTGCAAATTGTCTTCAGACTATCACCATACCATATCGTTCGTGCAAATACAGTTTCCTCTATTAAAATTCTGCGTGTGTGCTATTATTCCAAGTTAACCGAGGAGGAGTTCTGAAATAATAGTCGTTTTCCTTTTGTCATCCTTGAGCTATATTCCAAACAAACCATAAACTGAGGAACTCGTAAAACTATTCATATGAATTATGAAGAAACTCTGGTGTAATTTACTCTTGACGACCAAAATTTAGGGAGTAATACTCACATTAGGGTTTATACAAAAACCGACATTTCAGAAAACCGGTTTTCGAATAATAATTTTACTAAAAAACCGGTTTTAGCCGGTTTTCAAATTTTATATAGAAAATAAATTTTTTCCTCGAATATTGTAATTTATCCACAAATTTAGTGTAATTTAGAGCAGTATTTGACTGAATTTATTTATTGTTCAGTTTTATAGATAGTAAACAAAATTATTTTAATTTTAATTAGTAGAACTAAAAAATAATAGTTTATCTTGATTAAATAACTTGGAAAAGAATTATTCGTTGTTCATGCATTATTTTCACACATAAGAATGAAAATATTTTTATGAAAGTGAAAGGAAAGTTTTTGAATAAATAAAAATAATACATTTTTAAATAAAACAAAATGCATTAAATTAAAAAAAAAATAAAAAAATATTAGATACATGTTGATACTTACTTGTTAATATCAATTTTAGTTTTAAAAACAATTAAGCTAAACTCGGGTATTGTATATTCCGAAAAATTTTAATTAATTAATTTTAAACATTCTAATTGTTTTTTTGTTTAATAAAATGTGATTTCAAAAAAGTGAGAACGTCTATCGAATTGCTACTTAGACATGTCCTTTGATTACTTACAAAATTTTCTGAAATAGAAAATACACTCACACTTGCGACCAAATTATGCTTAATTGTTTTTAAAGCCTGATATAATAATTCCAAGTTTTTTGTTCTTTTATTTGTGGATTCTAGGGGTCAAAGCTCTTTTTTTAAGGTTTGAGTAGAGAAAGTTACTTCTTCAAGAAGAACTCATACTGATTTAAATTAATATATACACTGGTATAAAATTCTAAATTAATATATATATAAAACCTTTCTGGGAACTATTGCAACCTGATAAGATATCAAATGCTATTGAACCGATATGATTTCAAGAATCAAAACGCTTTCATCTATCTTTATATTTGGCTATATTTGTCATTTTCCATTTATACAGTGAAAACCGACTTTTTTCACTAAAAATCCGGTTTTCAAATTTCATAATTTTTGCCAAAAAAACGGTTTTTGAAACCGGTTTTTAAAAAACGACAAATTCTAAATGCTATGTAAGGAAAAATGTCAGTGAAAAATTTCAAAAATTTTAATAATCATAAAAGAGCAATATCATAAATTTGCGATTTGGTGTAATTTTATTTCAATTAGTAATATATTTTTTTAAATTTATGATTACAATTGTGTTATATAATTTGTTGATAATATTTCCAAATATATCTCTGAATTATTTTCTAAAGTATCTTTAAAAATATATTTCCCCATTTCATTTATTTCCGTCTGCATTAACCTTTGCCCCGAGCGAATTAAAAATGCATTCAGGTTAAACTGTCATAATGTTGTGCGCGCACTTGAGCCGTTTCTATTTATTTCTATTTATACAGAAGGAAGGACATTATAAGTAATTTCAGCTGATGTCACCGCATTACTGTCTATTTTTGCACGAATGCAGAAATAAAATATAGCCGAGGAGCTAGTGGTAGACATTACTAGTTATGTAGAATCAAACTTGGGGGTAGATTTACTTGCTACATTTGGTGGCGCACTCTATGGAGTGGGGAACGAATTAAAATTGTAGTAATGATAAAGTGACTGTATTTAAAAAATGAAAAATTGTTTCCGAAGATACATACATACACACTATCTTTCAATTTTTCTTTTAATGCAATTATTTTATGATTTCATTTTTTTTTAGAGGACAAGTACATCAGTCTGGGGCGAATGGATGGGCGTCATGCACGGTGATGAAATCGAATATATTTTTGGACAACCCTTAAATGAGAGTTTACAATATAGGGATCGAGAAAGGGAATTGAGTGCCATGATGGTGCAGTCGGTGGCTGATTTTGCAAGAACAGGGTAAGTAGAAATTTTCATGTTTTTGATGAATTTTGCTTAATTTTAAAATTCATAACTTTATTGAATTTTTGACAATTTTTTGTAATTTTTTTTCAATGATTTTTGAAAATTTGTATTTCCTTGATTTTTCATATTTTTAATACTAAGAACTATAACACCAATTTACTTGATTAACAATCTACCTGTCCACCAATATTCCTGTTAATCAGGTAAAAACTTTTAACATGAACTTTTAAAATAAAAAAAGCTTAATATTATAAATATTAAAATTTATTGTCTACAGAATAGATCTATAATTAATAATAGGTCTAATAATTAATTATATTAAATAATTACAGTTTTTTAATTAACAAAAACAAAATATGGTTCTATGTGTAATCCGACTGAAAAATCGACTATACTATAAAATATATGAAGATCATAAAATTAATTATCCAATATTCAGAATATTTACTAAATTTATTAACTTATTACAAAACTATTCAACTAACTTATTGATACCAATTTTGTATAATTATATTTTACAATTATTTTATTTTCCAAATACATTTTTTTGTTTTTATTCCTCCCTAAATTTTATGTTTTTGAATTTCAACCGCGGATTATAAAATACATCATGGGGCCCTTGTGTCCATCCTGAAAATAAAAATGTAAAATAAGAAATAAATCTAAAATTTGGTCGAAATATATATATATATATATATATATATATATATATATATACATATATATATATATAGTTCACTATATCTATATTTAATATTAATAATTAAAATAAATATAAAAGATTAATGAATTTGTATAATGAAATATAAGTGCATTACCTGTGATGGAGGTTTACTCTGCGATGCAGTTTGTCCTTGCTGAAAATTGATTCAACATATTTTAATATTATAATTTCATGAAATTTTTGTAAATTTCAACTAATAATGAGAACTTTGAATCAGGAAATATTAATTTATTGAATTTAAGTTAATTGAAGGTCGATAAATAAAGTTTACTATACTCGTTTTGATTATTTATCAATCGTAATAAAGACATCTTGTATCAGAGATTTTTTTACAAATAAGGATAAGAAATAGTTGAAGAAATTTGTGATTTGTAATTTGTAATGTAAAAAGGCTATTTTAAACATCAACAACATGATACAAGATTGGTTTGTTTAATTAATATTATTGAGTATAACTTATTTATTGTACTATTTTGTTGGCATATAAATTTTATCTTAAAAGCATGAAATCATTGTTGGAGGTAAATGTGAATTTTGTAATGATCTGATATTTGAGCCTTTATCACAAATGCAAACATTTTAAGAATCAATTATGGTTTTTCCAAATTTTTAAAATTTTAAAATAATTTAAAAATTATTTACTGCATTAAATTACGTACCTCTGTATTGGATTGGCCTGATAAACTTATGTCTTTACATTGTCCAGGATGGTTGATGTCACAAACAGTCACGACAAGCTACAGAAAAATATATCAAAATTTAGATAAAAAATATAAAATAATATATATATATATATATATATATATATATATATATAATTATTTAAATACGTACCCCATCGTGGTGACTATGATGACTTTCTGATGCGTCGACCTATATAAAAAATAACAATTGTTAGATAAAGGTAATTTAAGTCATTAGGAGATTTTATCAATACTACATAAATATTTTAAAATGCTATATTAAAGAAGAACTTCATTTAAATTTGAATAAATTCTTGATTTTTTTTAGTTTTTTTTAACATCAATCAAAACCAAGAATTCTATGAGGCAGTGGTTATCTTATTTATTTCAAATATTTCTTATATTCGAAGTCAATTCTGTTATTTTAATTTTTCTAAGTGTGATGGTTTCAACATATCGCAACATTGTTATTTTCCAATTTGGAACTTATTTGACCATACTGCATTTAGAAAAAAATATTGTAATTAAATAATTATATGTAGTTTTTCCAATTTGAGAAAAAAATGAACCACAATTGTTAAGTTAAATGTCTTAAGAACTAAAATAATAAAAAATTGCAAGACTATACAAAGTAAATAAAATTTCTAAGACCATGTCTTATATTTTTTTCAAGTGAAAATACATAGAACTACTTTTTGACATCAGGTTGTCTATAACTAGTATAAAAATCCACGAAAGGAATTAAGCCAAGATCAATACTTTAGTCTGTTTTATATTGTCTTGAATAAAAAAAATATATTTTTCATTCTATTCGATTTAATGCTTACAGAATGTGGACGATCTGATTTTCCTTCGGGTTTTCCAGGAAAATCCAGCGGTTTGCAATTTTCTGGATGGTTGATGTCGCAAATCTCTATGCTTCCCTGAAAAATTCAAATTGTTAGTTTGGTTTTGCTTAAAAATAATGAATAATGAATATAAATAATTATTTAAACACATACCCCTTCCCTGGAACCCTTATAGCTTGCTGATCCTCCAGTCTAAAAAAAGCTTTAGTCAGTAATTTGTAAGTAGATTATTTTATCAGTCGAAAAATCTTAACTTGTCTTTAAGAGACAAACAAAACTTAAAATTTAAATAAATTGAATTAAAATATTTTTTTAAGTTATTTGAATAAATTATGGAAGCAATTCAAAAGGAATCTTTTAACTAAAGTTTATTTCTGTTACATTTTTTGAAACCATATTCATATTTTAGTTGAACAGAACAATTCGAGATTATTTTTTCTTACCATTATTACACTATGTAAAAAAACTCATTTTTTTAGAATATTATATATAAATTTATAAATGATTTCCAATACGTACTGAATGTGGATAAACAGGTTTTACTTCTTGTTTTCCTGGAAAATTCAAGGGTTTACAATTTTCTGGATGGTTGATGTCGCAAATTTCTATGCCACTCTGAAAAATAAAAAAAAATTGTAATTCTAATAATTAAAATTGTGCAATGTTATTATGTCCATCAAGTATTTAAAAATTAAAAATGGATTTTGGTGTAAAAGAGGAGGCTGCTTAATAAATTGTCAATTAGGTTATCAAAAGTTATATAATTCTTACAGAATGTGGCTGACTAGGTTTTGCCCCTTGGTTTCCTTGAAAATCCAAAGGTTTACAGTTTTCTGGATGGTTGATATCACAAATTTCTATTCTTCCCTGTCGAGAAAAAAAAGCTTTAACCTTGGAATTTTATTAAATTTAGTTAGGCATTTTAAAAGAAACTTTAGTTGCCAATAGCTGGTTAAATCAGAGGACTGTACCAATTAGTAAATCATCAATTAAGCCATTAATTTTATATCTTTCTTACGGAATACGAGTTGTCATTTACTCCTTGTTTTCCTGAAAAATGTGGATGATCTGGTTTTTCTTGTTGTTTTCCGGGAAAATCTAACGGTTTACAGTTTTCTGGATGGTTGATGTCACAAATTTCTATTCCTCCCTAAATAATAAAAATTATTATTCTTATTATTATTAAACTTACACTGTAATTTTGTGTTTAATAATCTATTGGTTGAAAATTGCTTTTAGACTTAAAAAAAAGTTTAAAGCTGATAATTTGTTAGTTGCTTGCTCAACTAACAAATTAATTGATCATCATGTTAATAATCTACTATGCCAATATATTAAATGTCACCAATATTATTTATTTCTTACTGATTGTGGACGATCTGGTTTTCCTTCTGGTTTTCCTGGGAAGTCCAAAGGTTTACAATTTTCTGGATGGTTGATGTCACAAATTTCTATTTTTCCCTGCCAATTAAATAAAACATTAAGCTAGAAAATTTAAATTCAGAGAAATCTTAGTTGCGAATAAATATCTAATTGGTAAATATTATTAATTTTATTTATTTCTTACGGAATACGAGTTGTCAGGTTTTCCTACTGAATGTGAACGATCTGGTGTTCCTGCTTGTTTTCCTGGAAAATCCAAAGGTTTACAATTTTCTGGATGGTTGATATCGCAAATTTCAATTCTTCCCTGCCAAGAAAAAAAAACTTCAGACAAGAAAATTTATTGCATTAGGTAGAATTTTTAGGAAAAAATTTGTTGCCAATAAATAGCTATTTGGTAAATATTATCAATTTTATTTAATTCTTACAGAATACGAGTTGTCAGCTATTCCTTGCGGTTTTTCTGGGAAATGAGGACGAACTGGCTTTTTTTCTTGTTTTTCTGGAAATTCTAATGGTTTACAGTTTTCTGGATGGTTGATGTCGCAGATTTCTATGCCACTCTGAAAAAAAAATGAGAAATTTATTGAACAAGACTTATTCTACATTTAGAGTTAACAAAAAAACATTTTTTATCACAATAGTAAATGGTCAACATCATTCAGATGCCAACTAGCTAAATTTCATCAATGTTACTTACAGAATGTGGACGATCAGGCATTTCTTGTGATTTTTCTCCAGCATGTGGACGTTCTAGTTTTTCTTCTTGTTTTCTTGGGAAGTCCAAATAATTACAATTTTCTGGATGGTTGATGTCGCAGATTTCGATGCCGCTCTAAAAAATTGAAAATGTTACTAGACAATAATCAACATTATTAAAATACCAATAAACCAAATAACATAAATCTTCTTAAAAACTTACCGAATGTGGTTGACCAGGTTTTCCTTCTTGTTTTCCTTGGAAGTTCAAAGGTTTACAATTTTCTGGATGATTGATGTCGCAAATTTCTATTCGTCCCTAAAAATACAAATGTTATATTGAATTTTCTAAATGTAATACTTTTTTTAAAACAAAAAAATTACCTGATCATGTTGACCTGTTCCTGTATCAATTTTTTGAACAGGATGATATGTGGCAGTATTTGTATGCTGAAATAGAAAAAATCAATTAAAAACCAACAAAGCAATAAAAATCTCTTCTAAATCTAAAATAATGATATTCTAATGCAAACTTTGACGTCATTTAATGCAATGTGACGACATTTAGGAACCGAAAAAAATGTGTCGATTAAAAGAAGATTATTTTTAAAAAATGTAGCAAAAAATAAGAATAATTAGCAAGAAAATTGAGGAATTTAAAATTCTAGTCGCACTAGTCTTAAAAACGAGGACGCAAAAATACAAAATAAACACTAAATTATAAACAAAAAATGTTCCATATCTGTAGGATGAGGATTGAAAATGTTGTTCGACTTCAACTAGAATACAAATTAGCAGAAAATTAGAAGAGGAGGCTCTGGATACAAAAACATAAATATACAATATGCAATAGAGTGGTTCTGAATAAGTTGTCTACTAATTAAGTATTTATTCTAATTTCTTACTGGTTTTTCTTGTGCTGCTGGTAATCCTCCATCCAAAGTTACTTCTCTACATTGATCTGGATGATTTATATCACAAACAGTAACCTTCATCTAAAGCAAAAAATATTTTATTATAAATAAACATTAATTAATAACAAAATAATAAAACTCAGTTATTTTGTTGTTAAAATATTTTCTATAAAAATACTTACAGATGATGAAGCTGGTGGATTTTTGGAACTTGTTGGAGTTGATTCTGATGTTTGGTGGGCCTAAAAATGAAAAAAAAAATAAATAGAAAATAATAATAAATAAATATATTTTTGCTTACTTTATTGGTGACACTTCTGCAAAGACCTGGAGGTTCTATGTCGCAATCCAAAAACATCTAAAATAAAAAATAAGATAATTAATAACATAGTAGTAACAAATTTATGAAAGAAAAATCAATTTTTGAGATAAAATCTTAACATTTATTTTAAATAAAAATATCCAAGAATATATCCTATTCCTTATATTTGCTAAAAAGTTTATTTTGCTAATAATTATTGCATATATTTCGTACAACTTTGCTACCGCCGTTTTTCGTGAGAAACTTGCAAGCAAAAATGGCGGAAGCAAAGTTGTACATCTTATATGTACGATTTTATTGAACAAATTATGCTTTTTGAAAAAATATGTTTAAGTGTTTATTTAAAATTATTTCTAACGTTTATACTTGGCAGTGTATCGATCTTTCTCGGTTATGAGCTTTGGGATTATAATGTATTTTCTATTGTACATTGCACAACTTTGCTTCCGCCGTTTTTTATACAAAATTAGTAGCTAAAAATGGCGACAGCAAGGTTGTACTATGTTATTTTTATGAAAAAAATTCTAAGCAGTGCACAACTTTGCTGCCGCCGTTTTTTATACAAAATTTGTAAATAAAAATGGCGGTAGCAAAGTTGTACTAAGTTATATGCAAAGACCTGGATGTTCTATGTCGCTATTCAAAATCATCTAAAATGAAAAAGTAATATAATTAATAACATACACTTCCATTTCTAACTCGGATTTTAACAAAATTTAAAAAAAATCAATTAATAGCAAAAATTATGAATACACGTTTCTACAATAAAATATTAATACTTAAATTAAAAAAAAAAAAAGAAAATTGATAATTATTTCCCCAATACAAAAATATTTTACTATGCAAGGGAAACTAGGTGGGACTCATATTAGCAAAAGTGATAATATCATATTAACATTTGTAATTTTATCACTTTTATGGATGGACACACTTAGTTTAAAACTATCTTATTAGGATAAGAGAGCAATCTAAAAGTTTCTCTTATTTTTTTAGAGATCCGACCCCTGCAGGAGAAACCTGGCCCTTGTACAGCCGAGAAAAACCGATCTATTACGAGTTCAATGCCGAAGGGCCGCAACCAGAGCCCTCTTTGGACATTGATGGGTCCGATTCGGACCTGGAGCACACAGGGCGAGGGCCTAGGGCCACGGCTTGTGCTTTTTGGAACGAGTTTTTGCCTAAACTAAGGGCTCTATCAGGTAAAGGATTTATTTTTCGAAAAATTTCTTGAAGATAAAAATATAGGCGTATCTTTCAACAATTTATGTTTAATATTTTTATTTTTTGTTTTTAAAGGTATCAATGTAAGACTAAGATTTAACATCTTGAATTTATCATAAGATTTTTTCTTGTATCCAATTTCCAAAATAATCTTCATTTTCAAAACGTCAAAATATTTAATTGTTTGATCAAGATTTGATTTTTGATTTAGAATTAATTTCATAGGATATGTATGCTAAAATCCATCGACCTATTTTATTATCAAAATATACTTTTTTTATAATAAAACAAAAAGATTAGCTTTTTTGAGATTTTTATCATCTATTTCTATTTCTAATTTCTAATTTAGTTTATCGACCCCAAAAGAGTCCAGCTTTCCTGAAGAATATCTGTAAGCCCTTCGTTCGTGAAAAATGCAAAAAAAGAAAAAGGAAACGCAACAGGAATAAATTTAAACAAAATAACAACAATCGACGCGATAAACAATTTAAAAATTATAATAATTATCCCCAAAATAAAATTTATTACGGAACCGCTTTCATGTACGACAGGAATTATACAAATGTTTATTGAAAAATAATAAGAAAAATAATATTAGGATATATTTTGTTGCCAACGATAATTATGTATATATATATATGTATTTATATATATATATATATATATATATATATATATATTCATAATATTTAATTTACAAAATTTTATATATAATAAACCAATAATATATGTTCTACAACTTTGCTGACGCCGTTTGTTGTGAGAAACTTGTATATAAAACCGGCCGAAGCAAAGTTGTACTTTTTAACATGTGTATAATTTTTTTTTCTAAACCTAATTTTTTTATGGTATCCAACCAACAATTAAAATAAAAAAATAATAGAATTAAATATAGAAGCTTATATAATAATTTTAATATTAATTGTTTTTATGTTTATAAATTATGTTTATAATATTTTTCAATATATTCCAAACGATTTTTAAATTTATTTCATTTAAATCTTACAAAAAAATGAACTTTTAAGAAAAACATCGATAAAAATGTTCAAAATCAAAAAAATGAAAAAAATTATGACGATAATAATAATTTAAGGTATGACTATTAAATTAAATTATTTTTGCTTATATGAAAAACAACGCTTAATAAATGTAATATTTAATAGAATTGATAATTGCATACTTGCATTTTTTTAAATTTCAAAGCATCAAAAGTAATTGTATATCTGAATATATCAAAATAATTTTAAAATCATAAAATCGTACTTTTACATTAAATAAACAAATTGCTTGAATGCTTAAAACTTGCTTTAATATTATGCATAAAAATAGCTAAATAAAAATATTATTTAATTAATGATAAAAAAATACCAGAAAAGCATACCAAACCACGTTTTAGCGATTTATTTGTAATAGATACGTTTTAATTATTTAAAAACTGAAACATCTTACTTTTTATTTTTGAATTAATAACAATATTTTTTACTGAACGTCGAACAACTTTGCTTCCGCCGCTTTTTGTAAGAAAGTTGCAGGCAAAAACGGCGAAAGCAAAGTTGTATACCTGATATGTACTTTTTTTTTGTGAACTAAAAGTTTTAAGAAAAAAAAGTTATACGTTTTGAAAATATGTGATATCCCATTCTTCAGAAACTATTACAAAAAATTTTTTGCACATTTGATATACACGTGTTAAATTATTTCAAAACTGAAAAATCTTACCATTTACTTTTGAATTGATAAAAATATTTACTTACGGAACGTCGAACAACTTTTTATGGGAAACTTGTAATTAAAATCGGCGGACGCAAAGTTGTACACCTGATATCAACGATTTTATATTTCTGAATTAAAATTTTCATATTTTAATAGGATTAAAATTCTAAAGGCAAACAGTACTAAATTTGAAGAAATAAAATCTTTAAATTTAGTAGAATAAAGTGCTTTATAAATAATATAATTATAATTTAAAAGCTTTGCTTTATAAAATACTTTATTAATATTATGTTTAATAATTTGCGTATGAGCGTCGCCTAATGCAAAACCAACAAATTTAATTTAGCTTAAAAAACGTTCTACAGTTCAAGTTAATGCTTATTGCTTAAACTAATGAAAATTAGTGTTTGTTTCTAAATTTTAATTCCATTTTTCATTTTCTAGAAACTCCTCCTTCACCATGTGAAATCACCGAAAGGATAATTCAAATCGCCTCAGGCTGTGTCAACTTCAAATATCTCTGGACGTGGAGTTTGCTTCTGAATCTTATGGTTATAAATTTGGTCTAAAAGCTAAAAGCTACGGAAGGATTTTTATTAAGGAAAAATAGGGCCATAAGAAAGGTTATTAGAATTAATTTAGAACTATAACAACTTAATAATTGTGTTTAGATTTAAGCAAACGTCATCTATCTAAAATTGATGATGATTATGAAATTGACTTAAGGCATTTTTTGTATGCCTGATGTAATGGATTTTGAATTAGTGGAAGTGGAAGTCTTCACAAATCAGATGATACGAGAACCATGACTTATTTTGTAGGAGAAGAAAACTAGAGACAAGGAATTATCTAGACAAAAAACCTGAAGGAAAGATATTAGTCCTGATTTATATGGAGTTGCAAAATAGAAGTAGTGTCGATACTTGTTTTCAGGATGTACTTGGCAGTTAGAATCGAAACTAATTTACAGGTACTTGGTGATGGGATAATCATATATTTTGTACAACTTTGCTGCCGCCGTTTTTCGTGAGAAACTTGTAAGTAAAAACGGCGGAAGCAAAGTTGTATGCCTAATACGTAGGATTTTATTTTTATGAACGAAATTCTGATTCAAAAAATATGTCTTCTACTTTTAATTTATAAATTATATCCGGTAATGGATATCGGGATTATAATGTATTTTCTATTGACTCTTGCACAACTTTGCTTCCGCCGTTTTTTATACAAAATTTGTTGCTAAAAACGGCGGTAGCAAAGTTGTACCATGTTATTTTTATGAACAAAATTCTAAACGGTGCACAACTTTGCTTCTACCGTTTTTTGTGGGAAACTTGTAGGTAAAAACGGCGGATGCAAAGTTGTACACCTGGTATATGTTTTCATTTTTAGTCAAAAAAATATTTATTTTTTATTTTTAAATAATTTATACGTTTTAAAAATATGTAGTGTCTCCTTCCTTCCTTCATAAAATGTTACAAGAATTTCTTGTGCATTTATACACTTTTTAAATTATTTTATTATTCAAACTGAAATATTTTACTTTATACTTTCTAATTAATGAAAATATTTTCTACTTAACATCGAAGAACTTTGCATCCGCCGTTTTTGTAAGATTCTTGTAGCTAAAAACGGTGGAAGCAAAGTTGTACACCTGATATTTACGATTTTATTTTCTAAACTAAAAGTTATAATTTTAAGTTTGTGATATGAAAAGTTTTTAGAATCATGCAAATTTTATTATTTATAAAAGTTGATTCCAAAAAATATTTTGTGCGTGAGAAAATAAATGTGTGCTTTGTGTCTCATGTGAGATTTATTATATATAAGCCAGTATTTCATAAAAATAAAATCATCGAACACAATAATACATTAGACTTAAAACACACCTTTGATTTCTGACCGACAAATTTATAGCTGTTTTAAAGCGAATAGTTGCGTTTATTAATGCTGTTTTTCTTCATCTGAATAAAATATGATTTTGAAAAGCGTCTCTTCAACGTGATTTTGTCTTATTTTTTGTATCGTGAATTGTGAACACTTCCACTTGAAACAATATCAATAATTTCGGAAAGAAGCTTTCTGATATCAGAAAAATACTTTATTGTATGTCCTAATATCAAAACGTCTCATGTCTTATAAAAATATATAAGATATAAAACTCAGATTGCAAAAATCTGAATTCGTTCTATATCGAACACAATCAATCGGTATAATAAATAAAAATTAAGCCAACTACATTTATATGTGTTTACATAATTATATTTATGTAATAAAAAAGTGGACACGAGCTTTAAACGTAGATACGTGTTAGTAAATTAAATATTGTTATCTTTATTTTACCAAAAATGGATTTTTAGATGTTTCGTGATGCTTAAAATTGCTTTATGTGTCGATTAAGAATCGTGGACGAAGTCGGAAATTTGATGGTAAAAATTTATATATTTATTTTTTTGGGCTTAGGTACTACAGTCATTTGTTAAATAATTTTTCCTAAAAGATTTTGATATATACACATTTTTTGGCTTGAATTTTATTGAGGACTCAATTTGTTATTTATATATCACTGACGCTCGATACCATATTTATCTCTGAGCACAATATATAATTTAATTTTAAATTTTTACCATGTATTTCATACAATGTACTACCCTCGATTTTACTCGTCTCGGATTTCGAAAAAATTTTGCAAGACGATAAGATTTACAATCGTAAAATATTATAGGTCTGTGAGATGTGCTTTCCAGTTTTCTTTCTCCATCTATGATTCAAATGATATAAGTCTATTTTCAACGTTAAAAAGAGAACTTTTATAGTTCTTCATCAAAGACCCACAAAACAGTGTACTATTTAGAATGTAGTAAAAAATCGCTTTTACAAAAATGTTTGTTTATAAATCTGGCCCTACAACATTTTTTTTTTTGTATCGAGGCCCAGAAAGTTTTGGTGTTTGCACAATGCTCGAGCTTTTATACCAAGTTTCTTTATTTTTGTGCTTGATGAACGTAAACATATCAAAATAAGCCTTTAGGACTTTAAAAAAGAACTTAGACCGTAGAAATGTATGTTAAAAACGGCTTTTTGTGGAACAAAATAGGATAATGTAATTAAGACGAATTTTTGACATTGTGATAGATCAATTTTTGGCTGAAAAAATAAAAAAACATGGGTTTATAGCTACTTTAAATGCTCTTGGACAATACAAAATCGATTTCCAAAGTTGTAAGGCAAGTTTAAGTAATTCGTGGTTCGTCGGTTCAATTCCCGACGAAGCTGAAAAAAGTTTTATCATATATATGTTTAGTCCAAATTCGATAAATTATTTTGTATTCGTCGAAAAGTATTTAAAGTTCCTAGAATTTCAAAATAAGTTGCGATTCTAAATGCACTATACTTATAAACATGTTTGCTGCTTAATCATCATAAAATATTCAACTTCTTCTCGTCATATATTAAAATTTTAATATATATCTTTGCTATCAATTTAAACGATATCTGTTTTAAGATATCCAACGAAGCAAAGTTTCAAAAATCTTTTTTTTTTCAGCCAAATCATAATTACAATTGTCCTTCTGATCAAATCAAAAACATATCAAAATTTATGAACAAATAAATTTTATATGAACAAAATAAAATTGGTTAATTTTATATTAACCAAAACATGTCTGTCGTGATATAATAAATTAGTTTAAAATAAGAATTTAGTTCGTAAAATAAAAATAAATTTACATATCATGTTTATAACATATCAATATAAACAAATGTAATAGGTATATATTATATATAATATTATTATAGATTTAAAATTATTAGTAAACGGATTAAAATATTTATGTATACTGCGGTGGTAAAAGATTGGTCAGCAAAATATTCGAAGTATATTTCAGAAGGCTTTGGTAAAGACCCCGATTTAAATCCTACAATCTACGACAATTAATCTAAAATAGCTCTAGGTGATATTTGTATCTATGTAATGTTACAATATAAGTTTTCGTGTCAATATTTTCAGCTTTTAGTATTAAAAAAAAGTATTTTTTATGTTCGACGCGCGCGATGTCCGAAATGTTTAGGTGTCTATTTGATATGAAAACAAAATGAATTTTTATTTGTAGACCTAATTGATAAAGCTTATGTAAGAAATAAATATATATACATATCTATTATAATATATTAAATAATATATTAAGTATAGTTCGATATTGATATAAGAATCAGCGAGAAAAATGTGATCCTTAGTGAAAATTTTTGTGTAGACTTTGTTTGGGTTTTTGTTTTTGCACCGGAATGAGAACGAAATCGAAAATTGGGATTTGACTCATGATTTTGATAATTGATATTTTTAACAAATTTTTATGATGCATCATTTTGTAGAGACTTTGCCATTACTTTGTTTTTAATTGTTTCCGCTCTTCATAGAGTGCGCCATTAACTGTAGCACGGAAAATCACCTCTAGGTTTAAATTCCGGATAAGATTTATATAAATACATAATATGGAATAGATAAACCTGATAAATTTAAATATATGGAATGAGAACAAAATACACGCGCACATACTTTAAAACTTTTTTTTTCTAACAAGGTTTTTTTTGCTGTACGTTTCGGCCCTTTATGTGTGTCATCACTCAACGGTCAAACCAGAAACATATAAAATAAATTATGTGTACTACATATAAACATTTTGAAATATTGGTTTTGTCCCAAAAAATAACATCAATTATAACGAGTTTTTTTTCTGTACGTTTCGGCGCTATATCTATGTCATCACTTTGCAAGTAAAACCAACAAAAATATTCAATTAGATCTTGAGGATCATGGTTCTTAAATAAGAAAATATATCCAGAAAATGATAGTCCGTGATATAAAATAGATAATTAGTCTAGACGTTTCGACACTAGATGTGTGTCATCACTCAATAGGCAAACCAGGGAAATATAATATAAATTATCTATACTAACTAAATATAAAAATTTTGGAATATTTTTCAGAGATATGATCAAATAAAAAAAAAAATTTATTCTGTACGTTTTGGCACTCTATGTGTGTCATCATTCAGAGTAATAAATTTGGACACAGTGCGCCATCTGTTGAGTGCGGAAAACACTAAAATATGGTAAAGCACATTTCTTCTGAGTTTACTACTTTAATTCCAACAAAAAAAAATTGAATTCTCCGATAAAATGGAAATGTTATGGCAACGCTATGTTATGGGTCTATCTTCGTATGAATTAGTAATAAAAACTATGGAAAAATTGTGCGATCTGGCGTTTTACACATAAAACCTAACTTCACGTATGTGTTATCAATGAGACATCAGAAAGATGCACTTATGATAAAATTGTTATTAGAGGTTTGTGTGTTTTGAAGGTTAGGTTTTATGTGTGAAATGCCTTTAACATAGCTTTTTGACAGTTTTTATTGCCAATATGAATATAGACCCCTAACATTTCTATTTTATCTGAGAATTGGTCCCATAAATTTGAAAATTATAAAATAGTATAAAAAATAAACGAATGACTCTTCTATTATATTTACAATTTTCGATTACGTTCTCACTACAATTTTTTAGGGCCAAAAAAATAATAGTAAATATACGAACCTAATAATTTCGGCATTTGATTTTCCAC